GAGGAGGAGGAGGAGGAGGAGGAGGAGGAGGAGGAGGAGGAGATGGAGGCGGTAGTTGCGATTGCAGTGTAAGTGTTGGTGCTCAATAATTGACGAGCGCCTCTGGCTACTTGCTCAAGTTGCAGTTTCAGCCCAACATCCCAGTCCATGTCGTCCTCCATGATCAGAACCGATTCCAAGCTCTCGTCGACAATCCTAAGCACAAGTCAGCAAAAGATCGCTGTCGAGAGCGAGACCGAGGCCAGAGGCTGTAGGGAAAAAAACAAGAAGCAGGCGGCTGGACAGGCCATCTCACCTTCGCACCGCGTTCATGTGTCCTCGCCAACTCCCCAGATTGTTCTCCCACAGCTCCTTTCTATCAACTCCAAAGGGCAATGCCTTGTCAACTACCGTCTCTCCCCGCACCCCATCTACCCACTCGACGTGGAAACCCGTCAAGGAGCTCGTGAGTGCGATGGCATCACGCTTATCGGTTCGCTCGGGCAGGCCGACGACGAAAACCTTGGAAAAGCCCAGAGTATCGTTGGTGACACGGTCGATGTCGACAGTGGGGGATGCGTGTCCCCCGCGCTCGTTGTCATATTGTTTCGACGGCGCCTCGACCTCGCCTGTGCTGTACCGCATCGAATCCGCGTTCTCCGTCTGCTTCTTTGGGAATGACCACGAGTCTACACGTGATAATTGCATAGCAAGAGTGAAAAATAGAACCATGATAATGAAGGCAACACTACCAAACGTGATACGCCGCGGCAGACTGCACGCGGTCGGCAGCTTCAACAGCGAAGACATGGCCACTTCGAATGTTCTCAGCTGTCCCGAATGATGGTCGAAAAGGATGGCATATATGCTCTATTGATTGGAAATGGGGTCCGTCTATTTCTCCCTTGATGTGCCAGCTGTATTTGACGGTAGGCACAGGTCAAGCGGTTGCTGGCCTTTTTGGTACACAGAGAAACGTTGTACAGTGAGAGCGACAACCAGACCCTGGGACGCACGGGATGAATAATCTCAAGATTCTGGAGCGACACAAGCATTCATAGAAAATGACTGGGCAAATTGGTGGTGTGTATCAGTAGGGGCTTAGGTAGTCTAGATATAGACGACATGGTGAGCCGGGTGGGAATAAAAACAACAGCAGCAATAACGGTGTTCACACTGAAGCAGGAACTGAGTGATTGAAACCTCTCAGCGTCAACGCCGATACTAGAAACGCTACCTAGACAGACCCTTAGCTGTCCGCCTGCCTAATGATCTACTTCGTTGTTTACAATCGGCACATATGATGGCTCCATTTGAATGAGGTAGGCATAACCCCCAAGCTGGACGAACACATCTCAGGTCTAACCAAGACCATCCCGAAATGCTATAGAAACACGGTCTGCTTCCTGCCTCTGAACGCACAATGCAGGGACTACCGGGCGGATAGGCACCTTGCTCGCACCATCTTGGTCGAAGCAAATATAAATATAAATATCCCGAATTATACCAAGCAACTATGCCGAGTCTGTTGCAAGAGACGCTCAAGGCATCTGACGACGAGATCCTGTTCTTTTTGGCCCCCCCTTCGTTCTTTCCCTTCGCCATCATCTATATTACCCAGGCTCGCGCATGTCGACAACGACGGTCTTTGCTTCTACTTCACGCTAGGCCGTTTCTTTCTTTCTTTACATGTAACATATATATTGTCGAGCTATGAACGCTGTTTATCTTGGGCCATGCCAATACTGATAGCTAGCTGTGCGCTAGTAATAAGTATATAGCTGCTCTTCCATCGGACATCTAATGATATATCAAATGCCACCAGCGCACTTCAGTACGCAATAGAGGAAGAAACATTGCAGATGATGGCTGATAGAGCTCGTTCACTGTGTTCTTCCTCCTCCATAATTTTGAAACGCCCAAGCGCTCCGGCGGCAGTTCTTGCTCAAGGCTTTTTACATGCATGCATTCCATCTTCCGTGCTACAGTAAAGAGGATGATTCAAAGCCCAGGCAGAGCTGCCACCGATTGATCGTGTATATCCACTTAACCCTTGTAAAGTACTTCCAAACTCCCCAAAGATTATAGCGCAGATACGCTGCCAAGACTCTATGTTGTTTATGCCAGTGAATTGTCGTTGTATACGCCTGGAGGTTTGGCCACTTCTTGCAATTTGATTTTACAAAATTGTTGAGAAATGGCTTGCCGCGGTCTCTGGTAGTACTCTGTCCTGTCCTGTCCTGTCCTGTCCTGTCCTGTCGGAAAGGAGGGTGGGTTATTATTGTTAAAGTAGAGAGACGTCGAGTAATTGCAGATGCTGATTACGTCCAAAGTATTGACTGTGTTGACCTCATTTGGAAATTCCGGCGAAAGATGCGACAAAGGCAATCACCAATCTGTGAAAACCCTTGGGTCCCGATTCGTCACAATCAGAGGCCCATGGCTAGGTTGGTTTTGCAGACGCCCATGAATTTAATAGTGTGGCGTTCAGGCCCGAGCCAATACTGCAGAGGGCCTGGTGTTAATGTTGCTGCTCCAGGTCGCATGAATTTCGTTGAAGAAATCATCAAGAATAATGATCCGGAACTGCTCAGCATACTTGTCCTTGAATGGCGATTTCTTCCATTCACCAGACAGGCATTTACGCCATGACACCACTTCGACCTGCCAACCGTGCTTGAGAGCTTTGATCGCATAGTGCGCAAAGCCATCAGAGTATTCGGCTGGCTTGGCATCGCCAGTCCCGAGGACCATGATCCCAGGTTTGCCATGGGCGTCCAGGATGCTGTCTTGCATGGACAAGTGGAGTGCCTCGTCGACACCTTGTTCCCCTAGCTTGGTGCGAGGGCACAGGGTACCGGTACGTGATTCATCACCACTCGTGTGCGGGCTACCTGACAATGGCTGTGTCAGATCCAATTTAACGACTTGATGAAGAATCTTGCAGTCGTATCCGTAAGCCTGGGCATCCGCTATATGGGTCGGCAGCTTGTTCATCTGATGTGCTTGGCGCACCGATCCAGCAAGCCTCCGCTTGACGGTATTTCGACCTCTTTCAAGCACAAACGCCAAATGCTCAAAACTGAAAGGTGAGAATGTGACGCGAGCAGATGACGGGAGCCCTTGGCTAGTCTTCGCGGTATCCTGAAAGCCAATAAAGATATTGGACATGTCCACAAAACAGTGCACATCACGAGCTGTTTCATCAGCATGGCGATGGTCGAACAAGTGCTTTCCTTGCATCTTGGTCAGAAGATTATCAAACTTCTGTTCCTTGGTGAGATGACACATGGGTTGAAAATGTGCACCAAAAGTTGCTGCTTGCTGAACTTGGGCCCGAAACATGTCCTGGATTTGCTGCTCAGCTAGAGATGGTATCTTTCGTGAAAAGGGAGTTTTAAACGCATCGGGAGACTGAACTGGTGGAAGCAATGTCGAAGACAGAACCGGACAACCACCGACTTCGTCATCTTCGTCAATATCAATCTCGCCCAAAGGATGTCTGGCAATGTTCTTGGTGGTTACCACAGCTGTCGCGTAAGCCGATCGGTCTCTGGGAACAACATGGGCTTTAGTCGTAGCCGATAATGAACTCGTACAAATATCATTGAGAGTCGTCAAAAAGACATCTCCGCGGGCTTGGGATAATCCTTTAGGAGTAGGGGGAACATTTACATTCTCCTCAGTACTCAACCAAGAGTCCATACCCTGCCCTCGGATGGTTTGTAGACCCCTTCCAGACATGCTTGGAGTGGTAATGGCGGTTCGTGTGCCCGATGTCTGGACATTGGTAGTGACGGGTCTGATTTCTGTAGGCCCATGAACTCTAGAGTCATTGTTGCTACTCATGTCGGACTTGGGTTGAACAGCTGCTCGTAGAGCTTCCAAGTAATGATTCTTCTCAATGTTTGTGACTGCCCGGGGCTTCTGAGTGCTTCTCTTTGCGCCGAAAAGGTCATTTTGACCCATGGGAGAAGCTTGTGAAACGGTTCTTCGCCGATCTGTTGACCCATCTTCATTTGTTATCCGATAACTAACTGATGTATGAGGATCCTTTGAATCCGTACACATTTCAGAAGCTCCTAACGCGACCAATCCAGTCGCTACTAGAGCCGGCTGGCAGAGAGATGCCTGAGCAGCTCCAAAAAATGGCACATAGTCCTCGTCGGCGGGTTTCGTTGTTTCACTTGCCCTTCCTTCATGGCATTCTTCATGAGACGGAACGCTGGGCGAAGTTTCTCTAGAAACAGCGTCTTTCCTACTATTCTCCACACCTGAAGCTGTAGATTTCCAACGAGGCGATGAACGCAGAGTGCCGGCAATATATGTTGTCAATGACTTTGGATTTGCTCTAGGAATTTCTGTGTGTTCAGCAGAAACTGGGCTTCGTGCGGTTGCTGAAATAGCCAATTCTGCTAGTGCTACCGCATGGTCGAGTCCCGCTGACAAGCCAAGTTGTTTTTGTTCCGGTGTATGCGGAGGCGTAGCGAGACGCATTCGAGTATAGGTCGAGATGGGGGAGACCATGGCATCAGGTGTCTTTGGGCGCGTACCATAATCGACAATGGAGTTGATATCGAGACTGCCGAAGCCTAGTCTAGGCTGTATATCATTGGATGCGGGCATATTTCCGCGGAATGCGCGACGTTTTATCACGGGTAAATGCTTGTCTTGTATAGTAGCAGCCGAAGTACTATCGTCGAGGGAGGTCTCGCCGGAGCCCAGTGAATGGTCTGGGGAAGTCGCTTCAGAAGTTGAAGATCGAGTATCATCGAAAATCGAGGGAGATGTCTCGATGGACGGCACAAATTGAGGTATGTGGCCAGTGACCATCCTGTATGAATCCGCCGCCTCTTGGCGACAGGGAGCAAATCGATGATGTGAATGCAAATGGATTGTTTTTTATTGTCTTCGTGTATCCGAAAATTAGCGAGAACTTGAGATGAACGGGATACCCGCGGACGATAAAGCCGAGAGAGAGAGAAAGAGAGAGAGAGAGAGCGATAGAGAGAATTGATACGAACAGGAACAGGTAGCGAGCTCGATGGAATGAATGGAAGGGAGAAGAGCAGATCAAGAAGTTGAAGCGCAACAGAACAGAAAGAGTCGCGGGCTTCAATGCCATGTCACAGACAAAATAAATGAGGTTGGAGGGTTGAGTATCAAAGCAAATGGAACAGCCTGGCAGTGTTCGTGGTGTGAATCGGCGCTTGCCAAAAGACAGACAGGATTTGAGAAGAAGGAACCGCTCATGACGCGTCAGACTCACCTTGACGGCGAAGAGATTTGACTCAGAAAAGAAATATCAGCTGCTACCATCCGCACAACGTCCCCGAGCGACAAGAAGGGCGAAAGCAGTTGCGACAACTCATAGTCGCCGGTTATGCTCCACGGGTTCAAGTTTGTAAGAGCACGAGGAGACGGTGGAGTGGTGGTTGAAAACAAAGATGGTTCACAATGTAAAACCAGGACTGAATGAATAAAGAGGATGGGAAGTTGCTGTTGCTGTCTTCGCTCCGTTACCGAATCTTTGGAAGATCAAAAAGAAGGCCGAAAATACAACAAATAAACGAATGCGCGTGGAGCTGTTGAAGTAAAGAAGCTTGTGGGTAGATGGTGTAGATTGTTGATCTTCTTTTCGAGATGATTCATTGAAGATCCCTTGGGTACAGCCTAGAGCTGGAGGTAGAGAGGGGCCAGGCCCGACTTTCAAGGGTCTGGTCGGTGGCGGGTGGGGGCGAACCTAGAATGTACGTACCTAATATTGAATACCCGTCTAGTGACCCACTCATATTGATGAAAGAGGTAGGCGGTAAAACGCAGCAAAGAGTCCCAAGCGCAAGGGGCTCCACCTGCATCAAGCCTGCAAGGCATGCACCTATGTACACTAGTCAGTGATCCAGGGACCAGCACTTACATAGTAGTAGCGTGGTAGGTATGTAGGTACATTACAGTACTGTGTATGATAAACCGCCCCGCCCAACACTTATTTGTTGTAGATGGCCCAGTATGCTTCGTACCTCTGAGCCAGGAGAGCCAGGAAACTAGGATACCTATGAGACTTTGCAGTAACGCATCAATCTTTACGCAATGTCCCGACTCGATCTAAAATGTGCGCCTAAACATCTTATCAATTAGTACCAATGTCTTTGGACAGCTCAATCATGACATGTAAAAGAAAACGCATCGAGAGAAAGGCTATGACGACGTACAAATGGGACGCTTATCCGACTGAAACGAGACTCTAGTAATCAAATTCACGATGTAGGAATTTGGCTTGAGCCCAAAATAAATAAATTCCCCAATGGCCGCAGAACACTGGCCATCTACGAAGAAAATGGTCGAGGGGAAAGATAAATATTCACTGGGTTTCTGACACCATCCATCCTTGGACGCAGGAATCTGGTGTAAGGACGGAATCAAGTGAACAGGCTGATATTAAAACAACACAGAGTACAAATTTCCCCTCCAAACTCAAGCCAGTAGCCTCAGAATCCTTGACATCCCGTACTCCGCTCTCTGTGGTCCGGAACGCCTGACCAATGCAAAATTAGACCGATGCCTCTGTTTAGAATTATTCGTGTAATATTTTGTCTTCTTTTCTTTTGGTTTCCCTTCATTATTTTGAGGCAAACTTGTCAATCTCAGCGTCCTTTACGCTCCATCCATCATACTGTGCCTTGAGCAGGTCATTCTCCTTGTTCATAATGCTCATCCAATTGATCAGTGTGTTGCTGGCAGCGTCAATAGCGTTAGCCCTCTGTACCTGCGCCTCCTTCTCGTTCTCTCTCTGTCGCTTGCTTTCCTCCTCCTTGCGTTGTTCATCTCGGGCCCGGCGCTTGGCCCGGCGCTCCTCGATACCTCGCTCACGATCGGCAAGGTAGCGGAGGCTGTGGCCTAAAGCAGCGCTCTCGTTTGAGAGTCCCGAATGCACCCGTTTGAGAGGTGGCTGTGTGAAGAATAGGACCCGGCCTTGCTCGTCACGCTGGAATTGTTCTCGGATCTCTGGTGGGATGCGGGCGTCGATCGCATCCTCCATTGTGTAGACCTCAACAGGACGCGGAGGGTTATATGTGTTTGGCTGGCCGTGCATGCCGGGCACGGAAGGGGGCGGGACCGCTGAGCGCGCCGGTGAGGGCGCCAGTCGCTGATTGGGGTCGTACTGGATCATGGGGGAATTCATCGGCGGCGGGTGATGGGGTTGGGGTTGGGGTTGGTGATGGTGATGAACCGGGGTAGCAGCATTGTAAGGCGGCGCGAAACCGTTGAAGCCAGGCGTTTGCGTTTGCGGCGGCGGCGGCGGCGGTTGATGAGCCGTGTAGTGAGGCGTTTGCGGCATGGGTGGCGGGGGGGCCTGATGCATTTGATGACCTGGATATTGTGGTACAGGGATAGGCGTCGAGCTGTGACGTACAGCTGGGAACTGAGGCGCATAATTACCATTAGGAGTAGGTGTTGGCGGCACGGGGACAGGCGTGTATTGCTGCACGTTGCCCATGGCGACGTCGCCTTGCGAATCCATAGGACGGTGAACTTGCATCATGGAGGCGCGCCGCGCTGCGTGGAAAGAGCCGGGCGGAGGGGTAGGTTCTGGTGGTGGTGATTCCTGTGGGAATGGTGAGCGGGAGGTCTGCTGATGAATGTTGTTTTTTCGGGTGGCTGGGCAGATTTCAGATTTCAGATTTGGGATTTGGGATTAGGAATTTGCGATTTGGCGAAACGCCAGATTCCACAATCGATAAGGACCGCCACGTTTTGGTGGTGGTGGGCAGAAAGAAATTGATGGGAGGGAGAGGGTTGGGCAAGGCATGGTAAGGGAGGGGCGTAATATGAGACAGACGAAACAGGCAACAAGGCACCACTTACATTGGCTTCACGTTGGCGACAATGTACCGCGCCTACAAGAGGAGGTGCATTCGCTGCGCCCCAAGACGGCTTAGGCAAAGGGTCGCTGGGTTTCGCATCATCTCGCAGCAGGTGCTTGATCGGGCTGGGTAGCTTCTTAAGTGGTTGAGGTGCATCGTACAGATCCATCTCGTAGTCCTTGTCCCTGACTTCTTCCGGTAAACAGCTCGTCCACGTCTTGATCTTATTAAGCTTATGCTTCTCCTCATTGTACCGCGACTCGCAGACGTAGACTTCCTTGTCTTTGGGCAGGCCGCGAGGTCTGCCCTTGTTGAAGCGGGTTATGAACATGACAAAGCATCTATCCACTACCTCGTCGATGCCATGATCCCGATACTGGCCTGTTTTGACAACCTCGTTCTTGTAGAAGTGCTTCTCGAATCGATGTACAGTCTGCTCTGGGCGGTAGTACCAGCAGGTATGAATGCAGGGCTTCCCAGACTTGTCAATATAAGTACGGTATATCTGAGCCACGATGGGTTTCGTCAGGTCATTCGGGTTGGTGATGTGCACCCAGTCGCCTGCATGTGGTTGTGGTTAGCGAAGTGCATCGTTTGGAGGAGGACTCGTAAAGACATCAGCAGTATGTGTAGGACACTGCATGTACTCACCAATCTTCCAGACCTCGCCCTTGTGTTGGATTTCGGCCACCGGTCTGCGGCCTTCTTCATCCTCAAACTGATCATCGGGTTTTGCGTTTTCTTGTTCCGCCAGGCCATGCGCCTGCTTCATCAGATCTGCTGCAGCCATGGAAACTGCACTACCCTCTTCGTTGTACTCCATGGCATTTTGGCACATCAGGTCGACATCTTGTAGGAGTTGATCCATAGTTTGATACTTCTTCTGGCCTGCCTTCCTCTTGATAAGGTCTAGTGCGATGGGATTTTTGATCGTAGCATAGTAGTCTGGAGCCGTCTGCTTGTCAGGCAGTCTTTCGAAGTGAAGAACCAAAAGTTCCCCATCCTCGTGCTTAAATTGGCGTAGGCCTTTGAGAAAGGACTGAATCCTGGCCTCGAGAGGAGTGAAGACTTTGGCTGGGCGCCGGGATCGGTTTTGTTGATGATAGTCCCTGTCAGAAGATCGATGGGTTCTGCGTCCTCGGCCACGCTGTCCGTCATCATCGTCACCATCAGAGTCGTCGTCAGAGTCGTCATCGTCATCATCTTCATCATCCTCATCTTCGCCCTCGTCTTCCTCTTCTGGGGGCGGCGAGTCCTCAGCCTCAGGCAATGGTCCCAGATCGGGTAAGACAGCCTCTTCTGAGGTGATAATCTCTTCATCTACGAGTTTCTGCAGCTCCTCTTTGAATATCTCCCTCAATCGACCGGCGTCTTGGAAGAAGTGGGACGAAGGGCGATTATATACTTGGGCATTGTGGCAGATCTTGGCGACATCTCGAACGAACTCGGAAAAGGCAGTGTACTGCTTCTTGAGCTTCTTCGTCTGTTAGGTACTGTTAGCATGTTTCGCAAATGCCTCCAGCCTGGTTGAATTACCCGAATTGTGCTAAAAGCGACAGCCTCGTCAATGACTTCGTAATAGTCTGGGATCAATCGTCGGTTGGGAACGCGCTGGAAAGCTTGGGCGATGTGGTACCCTTCATCATCCTTGATGCTGGACAGGTAGTTGGCAGTATTCTCGATAATTGTGAACATGTCCGAGGACAAACCGCGTCGCCCACGTCGACCGCCTTCTTCGTTGCCATCCTCATCGGCTCCAGTATCCATATCCACGTCACCATCGGCATCCATATCCACGTCACCATCAGCATCGACATCGACATCGACATCGACATCGACATCAGCATCAGCATCCACGTCCGCATCGGCATCAGCATCGGCGTCGGCATCAGCGTCTGCATCGGCGTCGGCATCAGCATCTGCATCGGCGTCGGCATCCGCATCAGCATCAGCATCCACGTCTTCTGCCTGAGCATCAACATCGGCATCGACAGTCTTGTTGGCATCGACGTTGGCACCGACATTCATTTTGACATCGGCCTCGGGCTCAGCGTTGGTATCAGCATCCTCAAGGGCATTGACATTGGTGTTAGCTTCGATACCGGCATCTGTGGCTGCTTCTGAACCGCCGCTTTCACGGGCCGCTGCGTCAATAGGGTCGTTAATAAGAGTTGGCTCTGGGTTCGCAGCAGATTTGGCCGCCGTGTCTTTATTGTCGTCGACGACCTGCGGAACGGGGTCGGCAGCTTGCTCTTTCGGTGCATGTTCCGCTACCTCGGACGCAGGAGGAACGTCCTTGCGATTGGTTTCGAGGCTGGCTTTGCCGTCGACCGAGTCGCGAGCTGCATTCGCGTTGGTGGCTTCGGTCGCGTCAGCCATTGTGACTTGAGTGCTGGCCAATATCGAATCAAAATGGATTTTCTGCAATGGTGGACTTTCTCTGGTCCATTAGAAGAAACGTACGATGTTGAAGACCTCGAAATGCAGGTTTGCGCGTCGCAGGAAGGCAGCTTGTCGCATCGCAAACCAACAAACTTGAAGCTCTCTTAAGCCTGGACGGAATGGAGGAAGCTGAGAGGCTACATTAGGGACGCGCCCGCGGCGTGTTTTAACCGAACAAATACCGACCCTGGGCAGCATTTGATGTACGTAGTGGCTTGTATACACCTCCGTGGCTGCCGCCGGTGTTTAGTGGGGCGAAGCAAGAACCGTGGGAAATTCTTCACGATAAGAAGGAACAGTAACAGAAAGAAGAGAAAGGAACCCCAAAGACTCAAATGGCTGACATGAGCTCTGAATTGTGCTCCTTGGAAGAGTATCTTGGTATCAGCGTGAGAAGAATGAATACAGCAAGTACCACTGTACGTACATACTAGGTACGTGATCGTACGCAGGGTGGACAGCAATTAATGTAGTGTACACTAAATAAGCTATGGCTCGTGCGCAAGAGCCTAATGTGAATATACAGCTGCCACGGAAGCATGTCGTATTAAGTGTCTGCCGGATGGCCACCATGGTTGCAGTCAGCTTCTCTATTTATTGACCTTTGAAATGATTTCTCCGGTGCCATTCAGACATTCAGGAATGGAAAAAAAGACTTGGCTGTCCTTTGTTCCACTCTGCAGCTAATGGAGATGATTTAGACTGCTGTCATTCCTGCCTTGGACAGACACCTTGTGATGCATTGATTCCATACTTGCTATATACAGGTAAATTAGCAAGGGGATGAGGGGCCCTTTAAACTCTGAAATTAAAGCTTTCATCTTTACAGGAGACCTGTTGAATTGTGTTGTTTCTTGTTCATATGATTCTGCCCGGAAAAGAAAAAGAAAAAGAAAAAAGACACTCAAGGGCCAAACAACACATCCAATAGACTGTTGATTTTTGATCCTGAAATGCTTATAAATATTGCTGTCTCATCTTTCACATTCTATCACATACTCCATGTCACGATATAAATATCACGCTCCCATGACTGGATTTCAACAAGGCTTTGTTATGGTCGAATAAAACTTCAATACAGTGACAATGAATGTATGATCAATAAGCTATGCTAGCTAGCGTTGATACAGAAGGACAATATGAGGTGAGGCAGGTATAGAGGCAAATGAAAGAGCCATCCGCCGTAACCATAAACTGTGCATCTTAGACGCAGTATGGGAGGTTGTTGATGGGCTTGCATGTAGTCTTGGCCGGGCAGTTGCCTCCATCCTATAATATAAATTGATGAGTCTGCGATCCCAAAGAACCGCCACGAAATATGTATGAAGATGACTTACAAGCCACTTGCCATCAATATTGCAGACGAGCCAACCTGAGTTATTTGGCTTGCCTAGTGTGCCAATTTATATTAGATTTCTGTTCGTTTCCCTCCTTCATGGATGGTACCGTTTGTGTGTACTAGAGGGATAGAGAGAAATAAGAGGTTACTGACAAGCATAGGATGGGGGGCTACATTGCTGGCCTCTTTCCATTACAGAGGGGGCAGCCATAGCAGCAACGCCCAGAGCGAGGACGGCGATGAACTTCATGGTATTGGTAAAATCGGGGATAGAAATATGGTCAAATAGACGTGAAAGTAGATGTTGTAATTTCGTGGGGTGATGTTACAATGGATCACAATAAGAGGTTGCAGGCGATCTGGACATATTTATATTCATGATGAAGCGATACGCCCATAGTCTGAGCCAGCTCAGCCCAAGGCATCACAAGTCGTCGCGGAAAAGAATCCGTTTCTTCATGCTTTGTATCACTTGGTGCTCATCGTATTACTGGAAGATCTCTTGCTTGGGCTGAAGGACTGGTACGGTAGATTGACGCCTCTCCGTCTCAGCTCAAGGTAGACACCGATTCATCACGGTTATGCTTCATTAACTTTCTATTTTAGGAGTTATTCAAAGCTTCCTCATGCCAAGACCTGCGATGAATGGTGAGTATGCCGCACCGGCTTAGTAGAAAGCCTAAAGGCGCCTCAGCCGCAACAGAACTAATGACAAATGCGAATACACGCTGACAACTTCCCCGCAAAAAAGAGTTGGCTCGACGGAACGTTACGTAGCATGGTATGCAAGGCTGGCTTCCACTTTTGGTTATACTGGTTGGAGAAGTTCGTGATCGTTGCACTAGTAGCTTGTTCGGCACATGCCTAGGTAGGCACCTCTGGGTAGGGTACATGAAGAAGTCGTCGGACAATCATGAATGAAGTCGCACAACGTTGTCGGAGAACTCAGCTTCGCTTTGACCGGTCCCAAGAAGTTCAGCCTGATCACTCGTAGAGGAACCCCAGTTGTCGCTCGGCGATCTTGCAGGTGATCAAATTGCAACTGGGAGGCGCAAAAAATAAGCACTTCGAACGCCTCATTGAGAATACGAGCATCCCCCGCATGTAGGTCTGCCAACCAGAGTCGGGTAGTATGGGAGAGGTACAAGGCAGCGATGAGCTTCTATTTTGTTTTGACGAAACTCGTTCTTGAGTAGATATGGACGGGTAAGAATACAGAATAATCATCGTGGCAGTCCGTACTCTCTAAATACCCTATAATAACTTTCTTTCTTTCGTTCTTTTTTTATAGTCGGTACTGGTATTAGGAAAGTCAGCAGCTCGTTTCAGCTGGTGGAGAATAGATCGCGGAGCGGAACGAACTTACCCGGAATTCCTTGTTTTCTCGATCAGTCAGATCAAGAAACTCAATGTTCTCCTTGTGGCCTTCTTGTGCCAGTCGATCTCTACGCTTGTTCTCCCACGAGTAGTAGGCCATAAGGATCGCAGTCAGTACAACTGCGACAGCGCTGGTTACCACCACCGTGATCTTGGCAGGAAGATAGTTCGGTTTATCGACGTCGCGGAACGTGAGAGGCCCGATAATATTGCCCAGGCCTAAGTAAAGTAGGGTTCAGTCAGCCATTACTTTTGTGGACGGTGCAAGTTCACTTACAGAATGACATTAAAAGAAGTGCATTCATGGTGACCTTTTTGGTGTGTCCTGAATAGTTTGCAGAGCTGTACGAGTACAGCAACGGCAGAGCTGAACCGATAACCTGTTGATAGGATGTCGTTAATGACTGAAGAAGTGGCAGGAAACTGTGACTCTACTAACATTCATGAGGTAATTCCCTGCGAGAAGGCTGCCCTTACTATCGTGGGCCGAGAAAGCGAGAAGGCAGCCCCCGAGAATACCCCCGATGAGTAGAAGCACTATGATAATCGGGCCGCGCATGTTGTATTTGGACGCAGCGATACCCGAGGAGATTACAGATAGACAAGCAACAGCACCACTAGGAATACTGAGTAGCGCAGTCTCTTTGCTTGTGTATCCAAAACCTTTGATAATTGTGGCCTGGTAACTGCTCACAGCTCCGTTGGGGACGCTGCTGCTGATTGTAATGAGGCTCAAAAGCCATGTCTGGGGATCTTTAAAGCATTCGAGCACTTGGTACAGTTTGAAATGCTTGTTCTCAATTCCAGTCTGGTTTTCGCGCACTCGTTCAATGGCCCAGATCTTCTCTTCATGTGTCAATTTTGCCGTCATTGGACTGTCAGGCATAAAGATCATGACAAGAGTGCCAACGGTGATGGTGATTAGTCCAAATACCAAAAACATAATCTGCCAACTCGTAAATCTGGCACTCTCGTAATGTTGAAAGCCAAAAGACGTCAAGGCTCCAATGATTGTTCCGGTTCCTGTGCCCACGTACCAGAAACCAACACGTGCGGGTTGTTCGGACCGTTTATACCACATGGACGTGATCAAGATCAGAGCCGGGGCAACCGCCGATTCGAAGCATCCAAGCAAAACACGGAGGGTGACAAGAGCAGCCCAGTTCTTGGCTGCCGCTGTGAGCGCAACCATTAAGCCCCAAAGTATAACGTTGGCCCCGAGGTACTTGGCCGTCGGAAGACGCTGCATAAGAAATCCAGTCGGGAACTCGAATGCTAGGTACGTTACGTAGAAGACGAGAGCCAGAAGGGAGAATTGATCACCGGTGATGCTGGTGTCCTCTTGCAAGCCCATAACGTTTGCATAATTGACTGGTAATCCATGAGTCAGGAGTGGTGATTTCATTGTCTATGCTTAGGTATTTTAGGAACTTACTCAAAGTCTTGTCGAGATATTGAAGATTGTAGCAGGCCCCTAAAACAGATGGAAATGTCAATATATCTAAGCGATACAGATCTCGACATAACAGCAGCAGCAGATGTACATACACACTACAAAGAAGTATGTTAGCAAATTACTTGTTCTTTTTCTTTTCGGGACAAAGAGATATGTAGATCAATAACAAGTAGTGATTTGAGCATTTTGCCCAAGACTGCCCTGTATTAGGATTACATCAAGTCCAATGTGCTCAAGAGACATTCTAGGACAGGCAGAGTGAAGCACACGGATTTCACTTACTTAAAGGCACGATCCACCAGTCAATCTTGCGGAGAAGTTTCTTCTCGTCAACCTCGGTCATTGCTCCCGTGTGCTCATGATTGAGATAGTCCAGCGCGGCATCCGCATCGGCGACTTTCGACGCCTGTTTTTCGGTGTCTATCTTCTCGCCAGACATTTTTGCCACCTTTTTCTTTCTCTCTTCTTGCTCTCAACTTGATCGTCTATCATGAGGCGATTGGATACAGGGCTGAGATCACCAACAGCTGATGTGAGTCCGAGAGGGACTGCTCACGTTTGACAACACGGGGAACTGGGGAATCACTCTCAACGAGCAGTACAACAATATCGAGAATTTGACTATGCACGAGATAATATGCGCCTTCAAAATGTAGGCGTTCAAGAGCCGACCACCCATGGATTTATCAGCGTCGGAGGCCATCACAAGGGCGACTTTTGGCCTCCACGGCACAGTGGAAAGCCAGGAGGGGCGGCTCTCATCATGCGAAGCGCAGCCGTCGGCCTGCATGATGCGGCGATTGGAGTAGTTAGACAGATAAGCAACCTTGCCCAAGACATGATTAGCGAGAGCTCGAAGCCATCTCAATGGCCAGATGATTAGGTGACTTCATGATGTCGGGGGCTCGGGGTGGTTGACAGGGGGCCCAGGAGCCACTGTGCGATCTGCATCGGCAGATAGGCTATCTGCACGGATGGAGCCCGGCCAAACGGCGGGCTGGCAAAGAAATATTGACCGCGGCTCTCAGCAACCGACGTTTTACAAAAGACCATTTCGGAACGGTCCGAACAAGTCGAACTTCGAATATCAAGTCACTTGAAGAATACAAAAGCCATTTTTGATAAGGGTGCGTCAAACCCTTGTAGGACTTGACAGTTCATTCTAGTCTGTCTAGCTGGCAGCTGGCCTTCGGCAAGGTCTCTGTTGCCGTGATCGGATGCTTCCAGCGCGGCCGGGCATCGCTCCATGGGCGGGAGGTGCCCGTAATGTCATAAGTGAACCGGGCTGTCATTTGGCAGGCTTTCCTTGTTGCCATACTGAATATAGATCATAGCAATGCACCCCTCCTCGCGATGCTTAGATACATGGCAATGTTTCGAATGAGAGCCATGCTAGTATTTTAGTCCGAATAGCGGCACGGCTTTTATGATTCATGAGCCCTTTCTTGTTGGCGGTGCTTCACAGTAGCTCATGATGAGTTATGGGGCGAAACAAGCACAACGCTGTCGCCTGAATGCGTTCCTAGTCAGCACATGGCAAGGTCACTTTGTTCGTGACATCGTGACATATCAGCTTACCTCGAACGAATAGCATCTCTGATTTTTTGGTGATCGTCTGGAAAGCCAGCATCAGCATTTGCACCCGTGCGGAGAAAAGAAAAATAAAAGTAGCAAGGTTTTCCCTACCTTGATCTCCTCATCGTCATCTTCCTCATCAACCACGTATATAGTTTCCAGCACATCCCCTAGCACCAAGTTCATGTGGCTATCGTAGGCCTATCGTGTATCAGCAGCCGGAAAATGAGGGCAGAAGACTTCCAATTTGACTCAACTCACGTGCAAACGACCCTTGAGCTCTCTGTCGCCCCGTAGCTTGACAAACACCACCTCATCCAGAAGTAGACGGACCAGGTCCAGAGGTTCGGGGGCGGGGCTGGCACCGACACCTTCTTCAACGTCGGCCATCTTGATTGCAGGGAACAACTCTTGCTGCAAAGTGCTGGCGGGGTGGTTATGTTCTTGTTTCGAAGGGCGTTGGTGGGACTGGACGTGTGATGAACGGGCTTTGCGATGATCCTCAGTTGTGTTTAGGCAAGGCGGGCTGGCACCTGACACAAGACGATGGCTCTTGCTTGTCGGCTGGCAAAGACCTTTGTGCATTGGGTACATAAGGTATGTACTCTCTAACTAGGTACCTAGGGGTAGGTAGTGCCCATGCAGGCGGGACGTACTGGAACTGATCAATCTGAGCGCCCCTGGAAAAACACTCCCCCGACGCCGATGGCGCCAATTACCTAAGGCGGGCGGCTTATCTGACCTGGAGATAGCGATTAGGTAAGATGGGTAACTTTTTAAGATTGATCGCACCCCCAAACACCCCCAAACACCACCAACTCTCATCTGGGCCCGTGCTCGGTCTAGAAGAAACAAGTGTTGACGCCGTCGACGCGCCAAAACCACACCAAACCGTTGAGTAGATCCACTTCCCCGGATTTCCCAAGACGCCTCTTCCTAGCGATGATCCACCTGGGTCAGCGGTGTCGATCATATTCGTTGGGAGTACGGGCTTTGAATTCATGAGAACTCCAGCCCTTGCTGGACGAGTTTATGGAAATATGTCGATCCGGGGGTTGAAAGTGCGCCTGAGTTGTGGCTCCTCGAACCACTATGCTGCCCAAGCCAGACTTGCTTCGTCGTCTCGATCAACGATAAGCTCGGCCAGCCTGTCTTCGGCATACAGCAGTTTAGCCCAGAGACATTATTCGACTTGGCAAGACTTCTCAGCACCAGAGTCTACACTGGTCCCACATGACGTACTTTTCATGACCCAGATGTTCAAGACACATCAGCATAAAATGCTCGCTGCTATTTCGACAAGTACAGGCCCAGCTGGCTTCGTTACTCCTCCTGGGGAAATGCCAGATGGCTATACGCCAGAGCAGCCAAAGCCCAGTGATCAGCCCCAAAATCCGGCCCCGGAATTCCACAAGCTGCTCCAGGATGCCATGAGCGCAATGCAAATGCGGAATAGTCGAAGCTTGCTAGTCGCCTTGGAAGGACTTACCCAGATGCCAACTCAGGATTTGGAAGAAGCGATCGCTACTCTACCTAGGACAACGATTTCGGAACTCCTATGGTCATTGGATCCTCATCAGATTAGTCGCGACCATGACCCTACATACGGGTACTTCATTGGACCCGGCATGTGGCAGTATCTGAACTTGGGGGCAGTCGTTGATGAATGGGGCAGCAGAAAGCTCTATGTGAAACTTCTGTTGCAAATGACGCAACTTCTAAAAGTTTTGGTGGATGCTGGTCATATCCCCAATGTCAACGACTATGTGCCCCTGTTGCGCGCCGCTGGGCTTGCCTCGGACATGGTTGTTGCCAAACTTCTGTGGGAGCAAATGCAAACGCACAACATTGCGCCATGGAGGCACTACGATATATTCCACGAGTTCATCAAGGCCAGGTTCCTAGTCGATCCCGCCTACTACGGGTTTGATAAGAAGCGACTCATGATGACCCCGCGTAACCTCCATCGCCGAGGCGTGTACCTGCAAGCTTCCAATTCACGTCTTGACCGGCTCCGGAAGAACAACCGAAGGCAAATGTTCAAATTCGGACTCAACAGGAATGTTGCCCACGGCGAGGATTTGACACGACGCCTGAGAAAACCTATGCCTCTAACACGTGTATTCTACCACCTTAAAAGGAAAGGTATCTTCACTACTGAGCAGCTGCTTTGTACATTCATAATCGCGTTTGCTCGTTCTGGCTCCCTCAGGTTCATCCAATATAGGATTCTCGAGGACTACTTTGGTATCGTTATCACGAGAGATGCAGATGAGAACCGAATACGAGTTGAAAGGATGTCGTCAGAGAGATTTACGTTCAACAACCCGTTGCGGCCCCAGCGGCCCTTTATTCGGCCAACATCACGGCTGCTTGACGCCGTCGTGTATGCGTTTTGCTCCAATGGACAGTTTGCAACGGCTTGGCAACTTGTGAGGTACATTTCCCAGACCTACAAGTTATCAATCACACAACAAGTTTGGTCCAATCTACTTGAATGGTGTTACATTCTCATCACACCACCTACCAGCACAGCTTGGAAGATGGCTGGCTTCCAGGATCAGATTCCTCGATTTGGAGCAATGGAATTTATATGGCATGCTATGAAATCATCAAAGTATGGGACGCTTGGGGCCCAACCTGAATTCAAGGACTACGACTTGTACATCATGAACAGATTGTCGCAGGGCAAGGTCAGTCATGCTCTGACGCTCATGCACGAGGCTCAAGAATTGTATGAGGCACAATGTGCTGCATATGACGCAGCCGCTTTCGACTACGCAGCCGTTATGCATGTTGGTGTTGACTGCACAAGAGAGCGGCGCAAATTCCAGCGTCAGCGTTTCCGCAAGTCATACATGAGGCAAAGGATGCGAATATGGGGTAGGATGATCCAGAGATGCTTTCAGCCAGACGAGTTGAATGATCCTATAGCTACGCAACGGATCCCGAGTCTCATCGAAGCTTGGGGTGGGATTCTTTCGAATCCTGTCAAGTATCGAACAGCTTCAGGAATGGTCAGCCTGCTTGATCCCGCTGAGCCCGTGGAGCAGACCATTTTTGTGCGAAACCACACTACCCAAATACCGATGAGGCGCCAGGGAGAATGGAACCTCAAGACCTTGCAACAGCGTCAGGTACGTCTTCTTAGCCGGTACGCTGTTGGAGACTTGTTGAGCACAAGGCTGCATCCGCTGGAGGTATGGAAGGGCGTAGCGCCGCAGGGTCGTCCCAGCCAGTCGCGACGTCTCGACGATCACCGTGCTTGGGAGGCTCATCAAAGGCAGGCGGCAAAGAGCGAGGCTGGCGAAGTCTCTGCTCTGAACGCGGAAGAATTCCCAGCACCAGTTGAAGACATTTGGGACGAAGACGATTAGTCGCTTTATAGGCGCGATCTTTGTCAGTCAGTCTTGTACACATATTATGTATTGGAAAGGTGTGGCGGCAATATCAAAAGTGCATGATTTCTCAATATTTATCCGGGTCAGGTCAGGTCCATCTGCCGCAAAGAGCAGCCAACCCGCTGATGTTGGCCAAGATCTGTAGCTCGCGGCATACACGACGTAGCGCCAATACACCACGCTGCCGCCTTGAGACAGCAGATGATTACATCGTGCTTCTTTACCCCACTACTGTCTAGTCCAAAATGATTTTATGCTCGCTCATTATTTTCTCATTATATGTCGCCAATTAAAGGTATTTCTTGTATCCCGCCCCCGGATCATATTCACTAGTTTTGCCCATTTTCATCATGCCGATCATGCCTTCAATTGCTCCAAGGTCAAAGTGTTGATGACCATGTACCGACTCAAGCTGATCCAGCCCCAGCGAAACCATACCATTTGACTCTTATGTGCCTCGGTCATGGCCTGCCTCGCCGTTGCCGCGCTCTCCCTTCCGCCGTACAGGCTGCTCATGTTGATCAACAGGCCAGGGTTGCCCTTGGCATTCTTCTTCCTGGCCTCTCCGCCAGACAGCAGGGCGCTGAGCATGGTGGCAAACATGTCGAGGAAACTGATATATTTCCGCAACACATTGACCGTGGTCAGGGTGTACAGATCGACCGGAGATGAGTAGCCGGGCTTGCCCGTTGTTAGGGCGGCCAGGAAAGCCTTCGCGCCATTGTACAGCGAAATGTGGTTCGGGTGCGAGGAGATGCCCTGGGCGTCAAAGGTGACGAGGACGTCAATGGAGGCGGCTGGGTTTGCAGCCGAGGGCGAGTTCGGACGTAGGAGGTATGGTGCGAAGGCGCGCGAGAGCAGAGTCGAGATCTTTTGATGGTCCCAATGGGTTGTCATGCTGTCAGGAAAGTCGCTGCAAAACACACGGGCGTCAGTAACGGGTTTCAACTCGAAGGAAATGCAAACAAATCTGGGCCGGGCCGGGCTGGGACGATGAGGAGGGGCAAATGCCATGGCGTAACGTACGGGCTATCAATCACAAAGACATCGTCCTCTTGGCGCACCCCCAGCAACATGGCGCTCTTGACCAACTCCTTTTTCCTGGTCTCGCCGAGCCCATCGGCATTGCCAGTGCTCAGACACAAGATCTTGACGTGGTTGCCCGTCTCTGGTCTGGTGAGCGCCAGGACGGTTGGGGAGAAGAACATTGCCTCATCGTCGGGATGCGCAATGAGCAGACATATGCGCTTGTTGCGGACTGTTGGGAATTGGGACTGGGCGATTGAGCATGTGTAGACGTATAGGAGGGGCAGAACCACTATCAAGACGCCCACACTGCTCAGCGCAAACAAGTGCATTATTTCGGTTGGGCGCGACAGGCGGGGGGAGCCGCCAGATGAACCGAGTATTGTATCGTATTGTAGGGAGTCAACGGTCTCCCGAAGGACGGGTCGGATATGAATGGGCCCGGGGCAGAATACTCTGTTACGCGGGCCGCGCTTCTCCCAACTTTTCGTGTCGTGATTTTATGAATATGCAGTTTTTTTTCTCCTCCCCTGCCGCGTGCAGTGTGAAGATAGTGTAGCTTTCGGTAGGTAATGTAGGTCGGCGCCGCTGATGGGGGTGCGGGAAGGCGGATGGTGGGCGCTCTTTTGGGGCACGCGCAGCTGTCGGGGGAGGGGAGGGGAGGGGAAGGGGGGTTCAATCTGAAGGATGCAATGCACGACAGCGACCCGACGCGACCAAGACAATGTGCACTTTGGGGGCGGTCTGTCTCTAATTCAAGGGCCTTTTCCTCCTTGCAGTCCACGATGGCATCGGGCAGAGGAACGGCGAAGAAGACGAAGCGACGCCAGAGAAGGCTCGTCCAAAGCGACACAATGAAGCAAGGGTCTCTTGGCCTGTCTTTTCTCTCTCTGTTTTTCTCTACCGCTCAAGATCCCCCCCCCCCCACAAGACTGGCCTCTAACAATTCCTAATTGCCAACTGATTGACTGGAAAATGAAAATGCCACCTTGCGCTTTCGGCCAAAACCACATGCATGAGATGAGGGATAAGTGCAGCACCCCCTTGTTTTTTTTTTTTCCTGCTCTCTCTTTGTCTTCCTCTCCTGCTGCAGATCTAGGAATATGGATTTGACAGTCTCCTGTTCCTGGTCTCAAATCGGATCGTGGGAAAATAGCACTAATAACTGGTCTCTTGGTTATAGTTATGAATGTACCTTAGCTTATCGCTTCTAGTGAAGCACAAATGACGGTGTAGATATGATATTACTCATGGGTACATTAGTCGTCAAGTAAATACCTCTGATTTCCTAGAAAAGACGAAGAGAGAGAGAGAGAGAGAGAGATCATTCAAAAATGCTACCGCCATGTAAAGAGCCAAATAGCAATGCCGAAAGTTTTTGAATATTATCCAATGTGAGACATACCTAGGTATGTATGTAATGATAAGTATCCTCAGGTGCAATTCTGCACACGTATTAGGCATCGTTGATGGTTGGAGGGGTTACTGCTTTTAACTCTAAAATATTATGTCTTTTGAGATTTGATGGACCTCCGGGCCCCTGGACCCCACTTCTACCGGGATGAAGGTCCCCTGGAGATGTCAGCGCTGATCTACCAGAAGCTTTATTTTGCTCCAGAACTGGACCATGCTAGTTTCTGCCCACCTACGTACCAATCTACCCATTCATATCAAAACATTGATCGCCGACGAATTCTTCTCTGTGCCTTTGCGCCACCTTCAACATGGTCCAGACACGCAGAGAACGCAAGGCCGCCCAGATACCACTTTCCCAGCCCGATCGATCCGGCCCGTCGGGCAAGACGCTTCTCGAGCTCGCGCAGGAACGAAAGCTCTTTGAGCAAGCCGACCTGAGGCAGCGAAAGCTCGACGGGAAGCCGCTCGCGCCCGAGGTGCAACAAGACGGCGAGGACGCCGACGATGAGGATGAAAATGACAATGACGGGGAGGAAACAGCAGGGCTTTCGCCTACCGCGGAGCGCGTACTCGATGTCTTACTGTGGTCCATCAGCTTGTCCATGCTGCACTTCACCTTGGACGTGCTAGTCCAGCACCAGTATGCTGTTCAACTGTCATGGGTACAGATCATTTCTCGAACAGCCACAGCAATCTTTGGTAAGAAGACCCCGAACCCCTAATTCATACGTGCCATGTTTTTCTGCATGTATCCCGCATGATTTTCTCCGGCTGAGACTATATGCTCTCAGTATTCTACTTTCTCATGTTCTTTCTTCACCCACATCCCTCTTCTCAGAAATTGGTGAATGGCCTGCCAGACCAGTATCAAGCCCCACTGCGGCAAGCCATCTTCTTCGTCACCAGTATCTCTTGTGGCTGCTACCTTGTGTATATCTCAAACACGTACACTTATCTGGCTGTCATGAAGCAAGCTCCACCGCTCGGCTGTTTGTGGGTTTGGAGCGTCATCGAGATGAACCTGCTGCCGGCAACATTATCCTTGGCTTGTGCCGGCGCTTACTTGTGGTATGGGGGCTATTCTATCAAATAAGAAATGGCCCATTTGCTGTCTCCGATGATTACGCGTAGCAACATTTGCAATGGACTGAACCAAAGCTTGTATTGTTATCACAGCGGCGCACCAATTGTCAATGAGAATGGTCAATTCGTTCCACAAGCACATTGGGGGCATTGCTCATCCAATTTGGTCGGCTTTTGGTCCATATCGAGCAGATCCATTGCTAGATTATGATGCCCGCTACCCACATGATTCTTGAACAGCTCTTGCGCTGTTGAATTCAAGCATCCACCAAAAACAGATAGATTTTGCGCCAAGAGATGCTTGCCCATGTGCTTGCCAGATCAAAGAAAGTAGACATCTCTCGCTTTCTAAAAAAGGGAATAAAAAATGCAAGACAGTATTCTATGCAATGAAACAGTGACCGACCACTATGACCCTCCGAAATGTAAGTGGCAGGTTATGATGGCAGACATTAACCAGATTCTCGAATGGTAAATGCACCAATGCTCTCGACCAAGTTCTATGGTCATGATGCGTGCTCCTTCTCCTCAAGCCCGCGCATGTACTTGACAAATTGCTTCTTGTGTGTCTGGCGAATGATGAGTAAGATAAACATGTCGCGTGTCAGGTTGATGAAGTAAGAAACATACCATCCCAGCATACCGGCCGTCTTTCAAGACGCAAATGTACCGAAGACCAAGCTTGACGAAACACTCATACACAAGATCCATGGGAGATCGAATATCTAGAGAGACAGGTGCAGGATCAATATAAGGTGTAAAGTCAGTTGGGTCTCTTTCGTCATCTTCATCATCGTCGATGGAGGGCACCTGGGCCATCAGGCATAATGCAGAACCCTCATCTGGCAGATTGTCAAGAGCGTACTCCAGATCCGGCGCAGGGATGAGCCCCACGAGTACACCATCCCGCAGGATTGGTAGACCGCCGTCCAATTCGCCAGCTCTGTGCAACAATTCCAGCTTGGTACGCAAGCTCGGGGCAGGTACCAAGGGGGAGTTTGTGATGTCAATGATGCGCTCTCGGCGCACGCGAGGAAGGATGTCGGCAAGATCGGACGTGAAAATTGGTTTGTGTTTATTGTTGAGGAAAGGGTACGAGTTCATCTCAGTCAGGAGATCGTAGATGCTCAGCGGCTCTATGGCGTCAGCCGTCCACTTGGCCACAAGGATGGCGAGTGAGAAGGGAAGGACATAATCGAGACTTCCTGTCAGCTCGAATAGGATGACGGCAAGTGTGACGGATAGTCTTGTGACACCGCACATTGTCGACCCGGCAGCAATGAGGGCGTACACGCCAGGCTGCACACAGGTAGCTTGGGCGTACGCTGCGCATGAATCCCAAAGACTTGAGCCTGGGAATCGCAGCACGAGCCACTGGACTGCGTGTCCGACAATCCTCCCCATCAAACCACCAACAACCATGGACGGCACGTAGATACCTGCGGGAACTTTGATACCAAACGTGATGATTGTGAGGAAACCCTTGATGAGAAATGCAGCGAGCAAGAGACGCATAATGTTGGGTATCTGACTGATTTCGTCGGGGCACAACCCCAGACTGTCACTGGACTCGTCATCGCATGGTGCGGCAAGATTCAGAAGCAGCTTGGCGACTGGGAGTTTCGTCAGTGGATTCCAGTAGCCAATAAGTGCCGTGACCAAGGCAACCAAGACGACCTCGACCATCGGGTATCTTTTTATGACTGGTATTTTGCGGAAAGTGACAGCCCACTTTCTCGAAGCCTTGATGAACAGCGCACCGGCAGCACCGCCTAAGATGCCAACCAAGATGAAGCTTGCAAGTTCAAAATACTGCCAGTCAACCTTGTAGCGAACCTCAAACATGACAATCTTATGTGTGCCATATGGGTTCAAGAACTTCAAGGATAGCGCTGCCGTGATGCAACAAAAGAATGTTCGGAAAAGCGTCTTTGCCGGGAAGAAGTACGCAACCTCTTCCAGTCCGAATAAGACACCACCGAGTGGCGCACCAAAAGCCACGACAACTCCGGCAGCGGCGGCTGCGGACAGAACCTCTCGCCTCTTGCCGTCATTCCCGTCATACTTGGCAAATAAACGACAGCAGATATTGCCGATACAAGTTGCCACATGGACGTAGGGGCCTTCTTTGCCGAGACTCAAGCCGGATGCTACACTAAGGATCAAGCCTACCGACTTGATGACGAGCGTTTTGAATCCGAGAAAACCGTGCAACACAAAACCGCTAAGTATCACTCGGACTTCAGCTACACCACTGCCAGCCGCCGAGTAGTAGACCATGGGAGGAGCCGTGGGCTCGATTGATTTTGCCCGTGGGCTCGCATTCCGAGAATCGTCCTCGTTCTCATTGTCGTCCATCTCCGCCGAGAGTTCTGCTGCCAGGTTCTCATCAAGCGTAGTCATGCGATAAGCTGATGGAACGACTGTCTTGGTGGTCAAGGTGAGTAAACAAGCAAGTACCGAAAACGCTACGACCGCGATGAGGTATACACCGAATTCAGTCCACTTGTCGCCAAAGGGGTGGCCACCGAGCACTTCGGACCAATTTCTCCAATCCGTACAGGGGCCGTGTGGACAGCACAGCTAGATAACCAGTCAGTATGTAGTCACGAAAACGCCGTAAGGCCAGAGACAACACTCATGCCCGCTGGCACCATATCTGATGGGAGTTGCGCACCTTTTCCCGAATATACCATGCCCTTGAGCAATACCCATCTTTGTAATCGAATATGGTGGTCTCGGCCACATTGACACAATAAGCGAGCACAGCTACCAAGAAGCCAACCAGCGCACTTAAAATCCAACCTTGAGCGCCATCAAAGAGCACGTTGACTTTGCCCCAAAAGCCTTTGCGTGACCGCAAGGCCTTGACTCTATAGGCATCTGCTATGCTGTCGTGGACCCAATCCGTTGAGGTGAACTGGTCGTACCATACTCTCTCGTCTGCGAAGATGGAGCCTTTGGATTCGACCAGGGAATCCTGCCTGTCTCCGAGGGCGTGCAACAAACGTTGACTGAATGAGCCAGCTCTGCTGTGATGCCTTGAGCCCGCTGCCCCGCCATGGTAGCTGTGGTGCCTCGATATACGAGGGCTCCTGGGCGTAGCGGATCCGTTCGGGCTATGTAAGCGTATGCGAGACCGCGAAGGTTTGAGTAGGGCGGTCCGTTCATCGGGAACCTGCTCGGTCATTGACTGCCTTCTCGACCGCATGTTACTGCGACGGCGATGATATGTGGGAGAGGCAGGTACGCTGAGCTGGGACGCCACAGATTGTTGCGACGCCGCCATGTCAGAATACGGATCCGCATCCGTATCTCCGCCTGAATTCTTGGCCATGGTGGTAGACTCTCTAGATTGATGACTCTTTGTGTGACATAGGGCCGCGTCACCGGGGCCCGAGAGGGATGTTCGGGCAGCTCGGTTCGTGACAGCAGCTTGGCGGCGCACTTTTCGTTCGCGGGTCGGAGCAGGGCCGGACTTGCTTGTCGGTGTTGTACTATCACCTTCACACTGGGGCACCAAAGAGAGCCCGTGTTTGTGGCGAATAGACGATGGCGGCCGTCAGGTCGACGCGTTCAGGTGCAGATACCTCTGCAACGGGTCAGTCACACACGCAAGACTCAAATGAAGTGCCAACAGCGAAGCCCCGGAATCATCAATGGCAAGGGTGCTGTCTATACGCGCGTGGGGTCTGGCCAGTGTTGCCGAGCGGATCGGCGTCGTGTAGTATAGGTGTGGTATTTCGGCAGGTAGATTGATCCGTTACCACGGGAGAGAGTGAATGTAGTTACTCACCTGCCTGGCAATGTATGTAATGTATGTAGGTAAGGCAAGTATCATGCGAGACAACAGAGGTCACCTCAGGTATGTAGATTCAAAGAGGTTGTTGATCACCCAGGTAGGTAGGTCCAGGTAAGCGAGAGGCTCTGCGCCAATAACCACCGAACAAAGGTGGGAGGATAGGCACGAAGGAGCGTACGAGCAGAGCAATGAATGATCATGCAAGAAAGAGTATTATTGCCCCATCCTTCACGGCGGTCAGCAAGAAGAAAGATAGAATGACATTCTATCGCCTTGTTGGAAAATAGCACGCAAAGAAGCTAAAATGTATTGGTGTATTGATACTAGCATGTACTGTATGTAGGTCTTGTAGGTCAAGTACATCCAAGGTAAGGTAACCCATGTGATTGATCAACAATGGTCAAGTTGGCATGGTCACCGGGCCCTCAAAGTCAACAGATGGACCCTGAAATCGAAGCACCATCCTAGCTTTAGCGCGCTTTAGCGACCTTTAAGCTGCAGAGACCGCTAGGACTTGCATATCTCGTGCGCCCCCCCAGTGGTCCCAAATGACTTGAACCTGTCTCAACTACATCATTCACTGGCCCTGAGAGCACCACAGCATTTATGGATCTGACGCGGCACGCGCATCAGTGGAGGGCAATGAACCATGGCAGGCAGTTTGACTCGGGCAATAAGTACAGACTTGGCTCTCTTGGAGTTGTCCTGCCTGTTTTCGTATTAAAAAAAAAAAAAAAAAAGAAATTTAGATGCCGATAATTCTAAGTTGTCTACAACTGCCACTGCATGTAGGCACTAGAGATGGATTTTTTGACATGACTGAAAGTTTCCAAAAAGTGACGGGATTATGAAGATGCAGGTTTAGCAACAGAGAGAGAAAGCAAGGCGAAACTTTCAACCAAGCCAAATAACGTTGCACACGTATGCAGTGACCCCAAGAGACATTGCCTATTCTGTAGAGCTATGACAGCCGATTTCAATACGACGCATACCTAACCTTAATGTAGGAATGTAGGCACAGGAGTATAAGCTGGGTGATAAATTGCATCGGTGCACTTCCTAACCCTCCTCACCACCACTTGGCCAAGCTCAGCATCATCATGTCATGTTCTCCAGGCATTTACTTAATACCTCAGCCATGCGCGAGACGTTGTTGCCTCTTACTAGATACACTATACCAGTTTTGACATGAAACACTCGAGACTAAAGTGAGCTATCAATGCAGGAACAGCGTCTCAAGTACCAGCCGAGCCTCTCTCATGGTTCAAGTACACAGTAAGGTAGAGTCTCGGAATCGAGGTAAGTACCAAGTAGGTAAGGGTTGTGTCAGGGTAATCCAATCCATGGGTGGGGGGCCGGGCAGTAGGTACTATGTATGCATGGCACCATCTTTTCCAGCGCCAGCTGTGCACAGCCGCCGTAGCACAAGCACGTTCTACTACACGTGCCCAAGGTGCTTGATTATTCGATAACGACTTATATTCATGTCATCTTTTACTGGAAACCACCGTGCTTCAGGGCATCTGCAATACGCTGAAATGATTACAATATAGGATCCAGGCCAAACATGCCGTCTCAGGGGCCTTCGAGCGTGCCCAAGTTTGGGTCGTTCAAAAGAAAGCTGGAGCGTGCTCCATCCCCGGAACAGAAACAGAGCCACAGGAAGATCCAGCAGACGGAGGATACCAGCGCTCAAAGCTATCAGCGACGATCTCGTAACCGCCAAAATAACGCATCCTCTAGGGAAGCCTTCCAATCTTCGACGCCGGAAAGCCCTGAGGACAACAACATCTCGGGCTCCCGGTCTGATATATCCCACCGCCCAGCACCATCTTCTCGCGGCGCCAAAGATGAGCTTTTCGCCATTGACAAGCGAGGTGATCCGCTAATTAGGCGCTATGGCTGCAATGATCGGTATGCGATCCCATCATATCGCAGATTTGGCAGAGGTCGACTGCTTGGGTCCGATGCCTTCTTTAGAACTGAGCCACATGGAAATCGCGAAGTCTTTCTCCTGCGCAGCTACCGTGAGGGTGGTTCCGAGCTCAGTCGGGATCGAATGAGCGTCCTCACCAAATCTGCTCGCGGTACCGGGGACCTGGTGCGTGTACGGCAGGATAAGTCCGCGTCATTCAACGGAACAGAGGACTTTCTACCTCTTGTGCCGATTAAGAAGCAGAAGCGTGGCCGCTCTGGGTCTGACATCTCTTTGGCGGAAGATCAACAACCATCGTACAGGTCTATCCATGGAATGAGCAAAAAGCATCAAGACTCGGAAAGCGATGAGACCTATGACAGCGATTCGTCCGCCAACTATGACCTTTCTGAATGCCTGGATCCGATCAAGAAAAAGGGCGTTCAATTGACTGCACGGATCAAGGATGACCCATCGGACGTTTCTTCCTGGATTGAGCTTGTAGAGCATCAAGATGTACTTCGCGACCTTCATAGTTCCAATGACCGCAATCCCACGCAAGCCGAAATCAAGAGTTATGCAGACATCAAGCTTTCAATGCTTGAAAAGGCCATGAGGCACTGCCAGTCTTCCGATCGTGTGACCGAGTTGCGCCTCCGCATCATGCTGGAGGGGGAGAAGATCTGGGACAACAAGACTGCCAGTCAGCGATGGCAAGAGTTGATGACAACTCATGGAAACGACTTCCAAGTCTGGACGGCCTTTATGGCTTTCCAGCAGTCTAATCTGCCCGAATTCTCGTACCAAAGCATCAAACAGAGTTACGTCCAGAGATTAAGCTGGATTAAATCCGAGCTCGCCAGGGAGAACTTGGATCCAGGCAGACAGGTGCTCTACAGCCAGCTGGTCATTGTTTTCTCAAGAGCACTCCAGTTCATTGCAGATTCTGGTTATGCAGAGTTGGCGACGGCAGTGTGGCAGGCTATGCTCGAGCTTCACTTCCAACGGCCACTGAATTTGGTAGACGGACCCCCCGATGCGGCCTTGTCAAGCTTTCGCAATTTCTGGGAAAGCGAGGTGCCGCGTATCGGAGAGCAGGATGCGCAGGGCTGGGCTTCCTACGAGAGCAACCAGGAATCACAAGAGCCACCGGAGCCCAGATTGTATGACAATTTCACCCCACCGCACACGAGGGATCCTTATAAGGCCTGGGCAGCCGTGGAGAAACAGAAGGCTGAGGGGGCCAAGGCTCCGGCACGCACCTTGGATGATGGCATAGACGATGACCCTTACCGTGTCGTCATGTTCTCTGACTTTGAGGATCTGTTATTCATCTCACCTCGGGCGTCACAGCCACTAATCCAGCAACAAATACTTGATGCATTCCTTGTTTTTTGTCAAATGCCTCCCGTTTTTGGCTCAAGCTCTGCTATTCGATCAATTCTTGTAGACCAATTCATGAACGGCGGCCAAAAAGCATACATTACTGACCAAAAGCCAACCCGTCAGCAAGAATCCGTTTCATCCGATATGAAACGGCCTGATTTTGCCTCACAGATGCAGAGCCACGTCAAGACGGTAGAGGTGGCCTTTCCTCTCTCAGATTGGTTCAGGCTCATGCAACCGGCCGAAGAGGTTCTGCTACCTGAGCAGTACAGTCTGGTGTCGAACGTCTTAAAGCAGCTAGTCGTGTCCTTCAAAAATGCTGGACTTGCTACATACTATCTTGCTTTTGATCATATCAACAACCCCGGCAGTAGGAAGAAGACTGCCAAGTCTCTTTTGAAGGATCATTCAAGCCACGTAGACCTGTACCTCGGTTTCGCTAGGTCAGAGTATTCTAAGAGTAACAAGGATGCCGCAAGAAGCATCTTGTCAGCGGCATTGGGGCTGGCAGGATTGACAATGAAAGATCGAGTGCGGTTATGCGTTTCCCAGACTTGGATGGAACTTGAAAATGGTCAACTCACAAAGGCTCTAGCTCAACTGTGCCTGGCTGCAGGAGGGCAGGCGCCTGAAGACCCAGTCTCTCCGGCTCGAGTACTCCAAACTAGGGAGTTTTTGACCAGAAATCGGGATCAAATGCTGTCTTCAAGAGCTGTAGACGATGCAGAAGCATATACAGAGGCTCTATCGCTATTGGAATACGTCACGGGCATGAGCGGCAAGGAATCTCAATCGGGGGTACAAGGGGATGTATGGTTAGCGGTGGCCAATATCAACACGTTTTCCGCCCAACTTACGTCACGAGGTTTGGCAGGCAGTCAAACACAGGAAACGTTGTTCCAATTCGCTGCGCAGCTACTTTACTACCATGCCAGTCACGGGTAAGTGTGCTTGGATCATTGTACAAATTTTATTCTCGTTGCTCGAGCTTATCTTCTTCGTTTAGTCCATATAGGCCAGGTTTCTTTCGCGAATGTGTTGAGGGCTATACTCTAGCATTTCCAAGAAACACGATTTTCCTGAGCTTGTACGCCTGGCGCGAGGATCGCCTGGGCATAGAAGATCGAGTACGCTCCATCCTGGACGAGACGGTCCTCAGTAAAGCGAATGACTGTGCCAGCAGTCGCGCTTTCGCCATACGGTATGAAATAGCTACTGGAAACGCTCACTCCGCTTGTGCAGCCTTTGAACGAGCTGTTGAAAGCAACACATGCAAAAATAACACCGGCATCTGGATATCCTACATCCGTTACTGTCACGGAAAGAGAGAGCTGCGGCTCAAAGCGAAATCTGTATTCTATCGAGCTATCCAGAGATGTCCGTGGTCAAAAGACGTTTTCATGGAGGCATTTGTCACCCTGGCTCGAGACATGGACACATCGGAGCTGAAATCAGTTTACAGTACACTCTGTGACAAAGGCCTTCGGGTGCATGTCGAACTAGATGTGTTTGTTGAGAATTGGAAGAGCACTTTGAAGCAGGAAGAAAGACAGCGGTAACATACAGATGGGCCTGTCTGATACACGACGGCTCTAATTCATGTCGATAGTCGAGCATCAAAACCATCACGATCCTTCCACTTGACATTGTCGGGTTTTATAACCAGGGTTGTTCTTCCGCCAAGATCCCAATAATCTATTTTCACACATCAAACTGTTCAAAATCCCGTATGCTTCTCAGTGACTTTGGTCAGTATATTCTTGGTCATATTCCTTGATATTCTGTTCGATATCATCATCCACTTCGTCCTCCCCTGGTCCTGCCTTGCTGTGTCTGTTGCCCCTATGATCGCATATAGTTTGGTCGTCTATTGAGTCAACGGCTTGCGCGCCTGGACTCGTGGCCGAGCCGTGGGATTCAAAGACGCTCGTCGCTGCGCAGACCAGACGTTAGTCGGGGTGCCCATTGTAGAAATTATGATCAGTACTAGGATTTCGCCACTCACAAGTATCAACATGCCTATGTACGGAAACATGATTTCTAGTCGCCTTCGATGACATTTCGTCGTTTGTGTCAGGAAAAACAAGGAGTGACAGACTGGGTCTGTTTAGAAATGAGTAGGATTCAAGTGTATTGTAAAGGGTGGAGGGAGAGGGAAAAGAAAGCGAATCAACTTTATATTGAATATAGTTCCCTTTTTTTTCTTTTTTTCTTTTCTTTTGGGGGCCCAAGAACGGCGATCCTCTGGTTGCAGTTCCCTGCAGCTCAAACGCAGCATGATCGCCGACACAGAAGCAAGGCATTTCGTGTGGATCATTTCCGTCCACAGTGCATTGATAACGAGACCTTCCACACCAACGGCACCTTGTCATTTCTCTTCAAGATGACCAGCGCAGGTGTTGCGCACCGGGCCACCAAATGTGACATCATTTATGGTGAGAAGGACCTTCAACTAACGTCATTGCTTCTTCACTAAATACTTTGTCGGGGTTGTAAGGTTATGACTTGTGTGTATGTTGTCAGCCCAGCAATTATTGCGCAATGGAAACACCATCCGGTTATCCCACAAAGTGTTGATGATTATGTCTTGACAGACAACAGGGTGAGTGCCTATCTCCTGGTGATATGGGATATGTGACCAGCCCCTACGAGGCCAGGAATTTTTCTGATGTATTTCGTCTTGAATTATATGATTCTCTATTTTGATAGCTTGACACTCTTGATCAAGCCTGGCTTGATACCTGTCTGTTCGCCCTTGTAACCGCCGCGACCCTCTCCTCCCGAGTACGTCGACTTCATCGATTTGAGCTTCTTCTGCTTCTCTGCATACTTCATACGCTTCTTGACACGCGAATTCCTGACCTCCTTCTTCCGCTTGGCTATTAACAAGACACGTTAGCAATTGAGCCTTCTCAAATGGGGAACATAGATTGCGATAATGTTTTTCGCAGCCTTGGTCTGGTCCGAGTAGAAGTCGAGAACAGAAAGGAGTATACTTACGTGCAAGTCCCTTGTTCTTTTCGATGGCATACCTGTATCATAGTTAGCATCCTTTTCTGCCCTTTTGCCAATATCCGCAGGAAAAGTACTGACGTGATCTTTCTCTTGCCATCTTCTCCAATGACCTCTTGCTCTACAACCCTGTCCGCCTTTGATGCTTCGGCCAATGCTTCTGCTCTTGCGGTCTTCTCGGACTTCTTCTTGTTGCTTCTTGCGGCGATCATGTCATAATATTCATCTTCGTCGTCCCTGATTGCAGCAGCTTTCTGATTTTCATCATCGCTGTCATCGCCCAGGTCAGCGCCGTGCTTCGAATCCTTCTGGCCACGTTTCTCCGCGGCAGCATTGAGACGGGCTTGGCGATCCCTGAGTCGTTCTCGGTAGGGAATATCCATATCACCACCCGCGTCCCTTCCAGCACCAGCTCTCTTGTTGGCCTTTTGGACAATCTGGGAGGTGTAGAAGCGCAGACTCTTCTTGCGGGCGGCCTTTTCTGCCGCTGCCTTGGAATCCATAGTTTCCTCTTCACCAAAGTCTGAATTGTCGTCGGGAATGGCCTCTGTCTTTGTCTTCTTCGATTTCTTTGCCTTCGACACCAGTGTCGACAGATCTGCAAGGGAGTCCTCAATCTCCTGGGCTTTGCGCTGCGCTTGCTTGGCTTTTCTCTTTTCCTTATTCGTGTGGGTAACGTCGTTGGAAGCCTTTGGCGATGCGAGGGTGATGTCATCCACAGATGACGAGTCCTCGTCCGCCGGTTGCCGGGCGGCTGCTGTTATCTCGGCAGGCTTGGGAGCCTTCAAATCCTTTACACGCTGCCACGCCTCACGACATTGAAGCAGAGTGCCCATGACTTCGTGGTCTCGCAGCTCGGCTGGATCGAGGGCCTTGACACTGCCGTTGGAATCGCGAGCTGGGGAGGTCAGAGTCGCAAAGTACATGGCCAACGTGGCGACATAACAGCCGAGAACACGATATTTGACAGTGGCGACGGATTTCCTCGTCTGGCCATCAGCCTCCTTTTGCAGTGTAACCAGTAAGGGCTGCAGCTCGAGAAGCTCTTCTGCCAAATATTCCAGCTCTGGGTATCGAGATTGCAGGATACGTAACCTTTCCTCGGCCGACATGTCTTCTGGAATCTCGACATCCTTGAGCACTTCGGTGACCACTTCCGCGTCCTCCTTCTCCTCTGGTTTCTCTGCGAGCCACTCGTCCTCATTGAAGATGAAGTCTTCATCTGTCATCTTAGCCAGTCGCTTCTTTTGCAGACGCCGCGCCTCCTGCTCCTCCTCGAGCGCATCGGCCTCGGTTTGTATTTGGTCGGCATCGTAGTATTCCTTCTTGGACGAACCCCACCAGCCCGGGTCTTCCTCTTCTCGGTCGCCCCCGTCAGACTCTGAGTCTGCAGCCTTGGCCTTTTTGGAAAACTTCTTTGCGTTGCGGGCGAGCTCTTCTAGCTCGTCGTCGTCGTCGTCGTCGTCGTCGGAATCTTGGTCGTAGGCCAAAACCTCTTCTTCGGAATCTTCAAGAAACTCCTCTTCCTCCTCGGCGCGCCGCTGCTTCTTGGACTTTGGTCCGTCGTTGAACATGATGGCATCCTGCTCCATCCAGTACTTCTCCTGGTCGTCGGCGACATCCTCATAGGTCGTGACGGGGCCGAGGCGCGCATCTTTTGGGTCGTACTCGCGCGGGCCTTTGGGCTCAGTAGTATTACTGGAAGCCTTTCTCTTCTTGGCCATGGTGGGCAGCTCTGTGGGTTGTCGGAGTTTGTAATGGCAGGGCGGAATAGCAAGATGTCGAAGTCTCGGTAGATAGCCAAAGGCTTGTCGTGCAATGCCCAGTACTTTTTTTTTTCCCTGTTGCAATGCTTATCGATTAGCGACCCCACCACTTTTTTTCATGGGTGGGTTAGTTAGGCCAACCAGCCAGTCTCTATGGGGACATAGGAACGAACCTACTGTTAGTACCTACCTTCCATAAGCCTCAACCAATCACCCTCAAGTGTGCTCAAGAACGATTGACAATACGTTTGTTCTTCAGGGTCCACCCAATATGATACTCGTTTCTCGCGACATACCTCTGAGGTATATTGGTTACACCCACTCACCACGTATGTATATATATGCCTAGTATATATAACGTAAGAGGGTCGTGGAGGTGTCCACGGGTGTGATTAGGCCTGCACAAATTACATTAGCAATAAGCTACCAACGGTGTAATCAAATATAGGCGGCTACATTGGAGCGCCCACTTGTAATGTCTCAGTCCTGCATGCAGGGTGTCTTCATTACTTGGGCAAATACTGCGACAATTGTTATTATTTTTTTTTTTTAAAAAAAAAAAACAAGACTTCTTGGTTTAAACCAAGACTGTCACCAGCCAGCATTGAGAAGCCGCAGCCGTAGCTGAAGCTGGAGATGGAGCTCGAAGCCAATGGTTAGATTGCCTTGTTCCATTGGCAACATGTGTTTCGTCATCTGCCAGACTTGACATCTCTTATTAATGATCTTAATCAAGTTCATCCACGGATCCCCTAAGCCTGCTCGACTGCGCGATTGTGCTCTCAGCAGCCTTTATTATGGGCACATTATCTAGCAAGAGTGAATTGTACAGTCAATGGCAAAACATCTTAGCTATAGTCGACGCACATCGACGAAATAGTATCCATCGCATCTGGATTCTTGAGTGGAGGCGCTCTCGACATGGTCCCAAGAAGAGGAATATCAAGTTGGTATTAAGACTGTGTTGAGATGGCCTACGATCAGAATACCGTGTTTGTTTTGTGCAATGGACGATGCCTAATGCGCGTGTCAAGCCCAAAGAAAACCCTCTGATATTCATGTCATATGTTCTTGCCTTTTCGCCTTCGTGATCGAATAATGATAGTTGGTCTATACCATGTTCAATACTGGGATGTTTATTTCGCCAGATGTTGGGGTTCGGTTCAAGCTCATTGCATGAGCGGGATAGGGCAGTGTGTATATGTCATTGTTCGGGCAACAGGCATTCGCGAGGGGACCGAATAGAACTGCACACTTGTGAGTGAGTGACAGTCAACATGGTGGCAATCAAGATTGGGACGCCCACAGCATCCAAACTATGCTCCAGGCCCAATACTAAAGAAAATAAGAAGAAAAGAAGAGCAAAAGGAAAGGAAAGGGGTGAAACTATGCAACTTGCTAGGACTCTTCCAAAGCATGTCTATGGTTGTTGTGTAGTGGTTGGTCTGGCGATAACAACTCGTGATGATTTGCTGACGCACTTGTCAACTACGCCGAGCTGGGGAAAAGCTGGGGTAAAGCTTGGGGTTGGGGAGGGGGGGACAAAAGTGTCAAATGTAGGTAGAGTTGGGGCCATTTCTTCTTGATCTGCATACCCGATAGATTTGCCAGAGCTTCTCCAAAGACTACACCTGACGAACCCCAAGTCTGGTAGCCAGGTAGTATTCGTGCTCAATTCGTCCGATCGTTCAAGTCCTCAACACCCCTATCCGGTCAAACGGGCCGTCAGGTGGTCGACATTGCAGCCAACCAGTCGGATTGGAAGCGGAGGGTGTAACGGAGAAGAGCCTCAGTGGCCGAATCTTTGGGAATTCTTGCCTACTTGATCTCTTGCTTGCTTACTCAACCTTGCAGAGACCTGAGAATAACACGCTCGAGGTAAAGGGAAAGAAAAGGAGAACCAAATACTCTGCAGTTGCACAAGCTGTCTACTCATCAGTCACGTTGCCAGAGCCACGCAAGTCCGAGTTCTAGCATGAGACGGCACAGAAATGCGCTACGTACATAACTACTTACCCTGCAACGGAATGTACATGGCTGGTTTGTCAACCTCGGAATAGCAGCAGTAGTCACAAGCATGGACAATATTGAATCATGGCCGCTTCTTTCGTCCCTATTAGCCTCCAGTCAGTTGTCAATATGCAGGCAGCTGAGACAATTCATGAGCGCGTGTATACTGGATGGGACCAATTTAGCAACAGTTCGTTGTTGTTGTTGTTGTCGTCGTCGTCGTCGTCGTCGTCGAAGGTAGCAGAACGAACATGACCACGGGGAATCAAAAGAGAGGCTCCACTCACAAGCCTGCTGAATAGCCCTGCGCTGGGTTACAATAGGTAGCGGCGGCCCTACTGTAGGTCCTGGTTATGCGAATAGCACGAGACGTCATTTTCCAAGATTCCCACAAATTGTACCTTTTAGCTAGCTTTGCTTGTTGGGTAGCCTACCTAGCTAACTAGGTTGCTAGGTAGACAGACGAGCGGCAGCTTTTTTGGACTTGACAGACTGCTTGGTTTTTCTTCTTCTTCCCCTCCCGTCCAAGGTCCACCACACACAAGAGTAGAAGTAATGCAACAACTGGAGCATATGAGTTGGCTGCGACGATCCCTTTGGGGTCTTGTGGACTATGTCAACAGCAAATAGCCTTTTCCAAGCTGCCCCAAAGCTATCCCAAAGCCCATCCTGACTGCTTTTCCTACAACGCCACAATGCCTATTTGAGGTAGTCAAGGGGCCTCTTATACTGTAGGTACGGCCGGGCGGCGGTCTCGCTTCTCGGGACTCGGCCAACATGTATGTCATGGACAGCGTGACTCGCCATCAATGCCTGACGCTCTCGATCTTTCAGATCTTGGCACGATAGACGAGCGTCAATGCCACAAAGCAAGGACTAGACATCCACCCACCCAGCCTGGCTGCTACATACACTACAACATTTCCAAGCCTGTATATAGGTACGTAGTGAAGTGTATGGGCTAGGTCGGCCGGGGTCCACCGGGGACTATGACTTCAAAGATCTCCTTACCTGCACCCGTTCTCTAGGGTAGACATACGACGCGTCTGTCTCTTGTCTGTATGCCAATTGTTTTGTCCACTGCAATCCCGTCGGCCGTACTGGGCCCCATCGTACATCACGCTCCTGGCTCACAAGGGTATTGGCAGGTTTGCAGGTGGCTGAGCTATCGCAATCAATACTCGTCTTCCTTTGTTTTTACGTACTGCTTCTACAGCAGCGCGTTCTCCTGCTGCCCATAAGACGTCTCCGAGGTCACGAGCCAAGTACCAGAATCCGGGGTTTCCTAGTAATGATTCATATTCGTTAGCGACATCTGATCATTATTTGTTTTTTTTTGTTTTTTTTTTTCTTTATTCTTTTTCTTTTTTTTCCTCTTTCAGGAAATGTGATGAATCTTTGCACTGGTTCCCGAATAGATAAAAAGTCAGTCTATACTCCTGGTTCCCCTCCCAGCAAGTCATGCAACTCACCTCCGAGCAGCATTGAAACCCCATTGTCTGTATACGTTGTTTTCCTGGGGGGTTGAATCGGCAACATGACGAACTCTACTGTGCAGATAGCATTGAAGAACAACACGACTTCTTCAAATGCATTTGCTTACATTACTGGGCTGGACTTGAACCAGAATAATGTCCCACTCCTCATACAAGCCGACGGCCAGACTGTCTACAACCCAGTATCGCCTTCAGCGACACTTCAGCCTCTGGCCGTTGATTGTGCCATATCTCTTGGAGCCCCGGGATCAACGACGACTGTGACCATCCCACGCATCGCCGGAGGTCGCATCTGGTTCTGCCTAAACGGCAAGCTCACCTTTCTCGTGAACCCAGGCCCGGCCCTCGTTGAGCCCAGCGTCACCAACCCTAGCGATCCCAACTACAACCTGTTCTGGGGATTCTGCGAGTTCACCTTCAATGAATATCAGCTCTTTGTAAACATCAGCTACGTCGACTTTGTCAGCTTACCTATTGCGCTCAATCTGCTCAATGAGAGTGGTGCTGTCCAGTCCGTGACAGGATTGGCGTCTGGTGGCCTCGATGCTGTCTGCACCAAGCTGATAGCTCAGGATAATAGCGATCACGCCGGCTGGAGCCAGCTCATCGTGAAGGCGCCGGGTGGTTCCAACTTGCGTGCGCTGAGCCCCAACAGTGGCATCGTAATGAACAATAGCCTGTTCAATGGATACTATCAGTCATATGTCGACTCTGTATGGCAGAAATACTCGTCCGAGACCTTGACGGTCAATACGCAAGCCCAGTGGGGTAATGTGACTGGTAAAGTCGTCAGTGGGAATCTCACTTTTGATGGTGTTGGATCCTTTGCTCAGCCGTCTTCTGCCGACATATTCTCATGCAGCACCGGACCCTTTGGCAACTACCAGGATAATGTGGCCGAGATGGGCGCCATTGGTGCTCGACTCGCCGCCGCCTTCAATCGCTCCACGTTGCTGATCAACTCGCAGCAGCCCGAGGGAGAGCAAGTGAGCAATTACTATCAGAATGCCATCACGAACCACTACTCGCGAATCTGCCACGAGACCAACACAGATCTCAGGGGCTACGCCTTCCCCTACGATGATGTCGGTCCCTCGAGCGGCGGTGACCAGTCCGGAAGTGTCTTTGACGGTGCACCTTCGTTGCTGACCGTGACGCTCGGCGGTGTCAGCTCGACAGCCTCGACTAGTAATAGCGCGGCTGCGGCTACGAATGAGCAGCAGAAGGTGGTCCAGAAAGAGCAGCCGCAGGCGCCGCCAGCCCCTACGCCCTCAGCCGGGACCAGGGAACGGAGAAGGTCGGCTTTTGATGGGTTCAGGAAATGGCAGTCACTCCTCAAGCAGAAGTTTGCCAACGCCAAGTGACATGCCCGATCTTCTGTCTTGCGGTATCCATTTTCCTTTTCATGTTTCTGCGTACATGATCCCAATTTCTTTTTTTCAGCAGCAGCTTCTGGATCATTCACTGTATATACCTTGTTCTCGGCCAATGAAGCTTTTCTTCTTCTTCACTTCTCTCTTTCACGGAGGAGCTTACTTTTGGATCTCTTTGGTCCGTCTTGGTGTCTTCCTCTTTTTTTTTTTGGTGAGGTCTGCGTCTTGGATTGTCGTCCAATAAATCACGTTTGCATTGAAATTACACTTTACCCAAATTGTATCATATCCAGAAACAAATTACAAGACATGTGTGACCCGGAACATCAGTCTCAACCAAGCCCTGCTTAGTACCTAGAGATGCCGAGCTAACCAAAATCTTTCCTGGACCAAGCCAGATATTCCAAACATCATAAATCGTGTGGCTCCCGATAGCTTCCCAAAGTTCCCTTCATCATGACACTTCATGTCCTCGTCAAATCAATCCGCAAACCCACATGAAAGCGAGTAGGGCAATGGAAAACGCCACGGATGAACCATTACCTCGCCGAACCCATGCCGTTGCACCGCTATCAGTATTACCGTCTGCCCCAGCCTGACCCGCCGTCATATTGTCCTGATACATGAAGAAAAAGGTTGCATTGCCCTCGGGAACCGCGCAGACAGCGGCAGAGGCAGTCGGGTCCACGCACCGGGCGGCCGCGGCGTTGCGCCGTGCCGGTGAGGACGCATTATAGTATGCCTTGACGTAGCGCACGATACTGGCAGCGTCCTGATTCGGTGGTCCGCCGCTCCACTCGGCGTTGCCGTTGCTCCAATGACTGAGTATGAGATTGCCAGAGGATTTGGGCACGGCGCCCGTGCTGTCGTCCATGGTGGCCAGCAAATCTCCGTCGGCGTAGAAGAGTACTCGCCCGGCGAGGAAGTCAAATCTGTATTCGTGAAAGTCGGCCGTTGGGTCAAAGGGCAGGCTTGCATTGATAAAGGTGCCCGTCCCTGAGGCGTCGTAGCCTGCAGATCTGGAGCGCGGCGACTGTAAAACTAGGTTTACTGGATAGTGCGAGCCCGAGGCACTGAAGTCCTTGGAGAGGAATTCAAGGTCGATTTCTTGCGTATCGTTGAAATACTGAGTAGTGATTAGTGAGCTAGCTGTTACTCTTGATCGCCCACAACCTCTTCTCCTTCACGCAAGCTGACCAGTGTCGATGAAGGGAGGAAGAAAGAGGTGAGCCTCACCCAGAAGAAAGCACTGCATGTTCCCTATGTTTGAGGTACTTAAGTCAGCGCCGTGCCCTCAAGATCGTATCCTGGGCCATGGAGTGCCGAAAGTCTGTCGGCCACTTACCTGTACTGCAGTGACTTTTATACTGGCACGATAACTGCCCCAGAAGTAGTCTCCAGCAGTCGTCGCAACCTGGCCCCCTTGAATCATTCCGTTGACAGTTTCACTCCGGACCATTAGCCTCAGTCCTACATTGTCTCCGTCTGTATCGTCGTTGGTCCAGAGGTTTGCATCCTTGACCAAGTCGTTCTGGACCCCGGTGGCTACAAAAGACTCTCCGTAGGACCCTCGTGCCGCCTGGGAGCTCATATTATATGTTTGTGTCGCCCAGTCATTCCTCGTTGCGCCCTCCCCCACGTAATCGATATGTATGAAATCCGCTTCGAGGAGGTTGGTGAAAACTTGTGTATTGTCGTCGTCGTCGCCGCCGCCGCTAGTAATGATCGAGTAGCCACATTCACAGTCGGCCAGGGTTTGGGGCATAGAGGCAAAAAATGACAGGATCAACCAAAGCGCTGCAAATTTCCTTCTTCGTTTCATTGTGGATAGCGTCGCGAGCATTGATACAGTAAAGAAGAACAAGCAGCTGACTTACTGCGGAGGTCAATATGGTGGCGATTGGGGCGGGATGGAGCGCACACGTCGAGGGGAGGAGATCATCACACCTGTCGTGTTTCGGGTAGTAGCAGCATATCCTAAAGCCCGCGCGGCTCAGTCAAATCAACCGTCCTCCATCCAGTGGGCAACAGATGAAGGCACTTCGGCCACAATTTCGAAACCAGATGCAAATTTCCGTCGGCAAACACTAGAGCCGGGAAGAAGAAAATACGATGGTAGGTGGCCTTTCTTATCCTTCTTCTGCCTTGGCTACGGACAGTACATTATTTGTCCTGCCGAGCGGAACACAAAAAGATAGCCAACGCTCATCTCATGCAAAGCTATCAACCCCACCCAGTGAAAGTTCAGGGTGACCCTGTTGATATGGCTTGTACCATTGGGATCGTTTCTTCGTCGTGAAAAGAAAGAAAGAAAGAAAGGGGGGGGGGAATTGTTTCGAGGTGGTTGCGCGGTAAGACGTTACACACCCTGCTGCTGGAGAGGAAAAAGCAAGAGTAATGAAACACTGTGCATATTTTCAAGTCAATGTGTCTATCATCACAGTCCATATCAAGGATTTCAACTACATGATGGCCAAGACTTTTTGCCCATGAGTAGTAACTAGTTGGTCGCCCTACGAAATTTCTATAAAGCTGGATCCTGGAGCAGAAGCTGCCATTCCACCTGGGCAAATAGCTGTTCAATTCAACACAGTATGTTAATCGATGTCGTTGGCTAATATGGTAACAAAACACTTGATCGTTCAGCCAACAGAGCAAAATCTATTCAATGGAGAGAAGAAGTTTGTGATTCAGGCGCAATGTATCTATACAGTCAGAAAGGCACCAAAATCCCAGCAGACTAATTAGAGGAATCAATCTGGTTCGCGCTATTTCCCCCCTCACGCCGAAGCCACCAGGCTTGTGTCCAATTTCCATTTCGTATATGCCGTCTATCGCATTAAGGGGGATCCGACCAAACCTGGCTTGGTGGGCGATTGAGGAGGACAAGGAAATGCATACCAACAAAAAAAAAACAAGGAAACGGGTGATGCGTAGTAACTCGAACAAGGTATCTGGGGGAAAAAAAAAAACGGTGTGAAATGCGAGGAAAAAACAACAACAGCAATAATAAAAGCAAACAGAAAAAACAGTTGATGCCGTAGCTAGTAACAACAGAGTGGGGGAAAGGAATTCCGAAAATGGACCAGCCACCATTTGCTTCACACATTAAGTGCGCATACGGCGCTGATATTTCCCCTCCACCGTTTGTGTCATCGAGAGCCTAGGCCGCTGACCGAGCCGAGCCTCCCTCTTATTACCAAGTGAGCAGAATGCAGAGACGCATCAAACAAGGAAACTCCAATGAGATCGCAAACTCCGTTTAAGCCCCCCTTTGGCGCCTGACCGACCAGAAACCAACAAGGGACGAAGCACGAGGTATATGCCAAAGGAATCCACCATCACCCTTAAGGAAATAGAACCAAACACAAACTGAAAACAAATGGAATCGTGGTCTCATCAATGTTTTTAGTACACGCTATCCTCGTCAGCTCCCTGGGAGATCATTGACGGTGTCGACACATTGGAAGACACCTCAACATCGTCCACATAACCGATGAGGGCTTGAGCATGAAGGTGGAAGGACTCGCCCATGAGTCGGGTGATGCTAAATTAGTTGTCAGTCATTTTGTACCTTGTGAACGTCTTTACGTGATTCGACTTACCCCCAGACGACCACCTCGGAGAGGATTGCTCCCCACAAATTTGCGACAACAGAGCTCAGCTGAGACGTAAGAGGATTCTCCGAGTCGTTCTCGAACAAAGCGCGAATCTTCATGTACATGGCTCCTTCCTCCTCAGATGCAGGCTCCTCGTCATGTTCCAGACGGTAGAGCCACAAAGTAAGGATGATCATCAAATCCATGCCACAAAGAGGGTGCTCGACACTCCAGTTGGTTGGAGAGGTGCGAGCGACCCAGCGCACTCCCTGGCGAATAGCGGTCTCGATGCAGTTATAACACTCTTCAATGACCTTGAGCATCTCGCCAGACCGTCGAACGCGGTCACGGGCGGCCGACATGGTCGCGGCTACTTCGTAAGGATCGTGGTAACGCAGAGCTTCCTGCACCGTCTTGAGATCAACCTCAAGACGTGCACGTGCATTGCGAAACATGGCTCTGGCGTTGAAGATAAGGGGATGGCCCTTGTATGGCGCACTCAGCGGTACCGTGTCGGCTTCAGGTTCACAGAGATCTAAGGATTTCTCCCAGGTCTCCAGAGCGAGTCTGAGCTTGTACTCAGTCACGACATCCTGCAAAGCCTCGGGACTGCGCTTGTGGTACCACACCTCCAGAAACAGAGCGTTGATCATGACACGCGTAGCAAAAGCACTGTATTTCAATGCCTCACCTTGGAAAAGGTTGTCATGTGCTTCCATGAATGTCACACTCGGTGAAGCCTTCAGCTGTTCTTGCCATGCTTCCTCGTCTGTAACTTTGGAGTTCCAGAGTCCCTCTGATGATGGGAGTTGTAGCTCCTCAAACTCGTTGAAGCTGATGGCTGGTGTATGGTTGTACGTCATTGTGAGTAAGCCAAAGAAGATGTAGACTGCATAGTAGGTACGACGGCAGCCTTCATCTTCGACCCACTCAGCACGAGTAGGTTGCACTCCACCGCGAGAATCTGTTCGGAGCTTGAGCTCGTAACTGTTGCCGGCAACCATGTTGGCAAGGAGACTCTTGATTGAGCAAGCCCACTCCAAGCCCTTCGCGTCGCCACTCCAGCTCGCGAAGATCATATTCAGCAAAGAGCTCTGCATGGTCCACAAGGGGCATTTCCGGGAGCTGAAGTTTTCCTTGTTCTGCAGGAACTGGTTGACCAGAACCTTGGATCCAATGTGCATTAGGTAGGCTTGATCCTGATCAAAGGCATAGAGTGCACCGATAGACAAAACAGCGAGAAGGAGTGCTGGCGAGACTTCGGTGGGCTTGAAGGATGCAGGGTGCAAGAACGGCAGATGATGATGAAACAGGTTGAAGTACGTCGACAGGTAGCGATTCAAAGAAGCCAGGTTAGGAACTCGGAAACCGTCTGGAATTGCCCGTTCACTGTCATGAATTCGAATGTTGTCCAAGATCATGTTCCGCTCATCGTCGTTCAGTACTTGAGGAGCCTTAGAATTGGCGGCCTTATAGATGTCAGTAATGAGTTCCAGGCTCTGGCCCATTGCGAGCGGCTGGATGTTTGGAATACTCACAGAAGCAAGAGACTGTTGATCGCTAAAGGAACCAGAAGAAATCACAGAATGGGCCTTGGGGTTAGGTTCCGTCAAGAAGGCGTCCCAAGGAACATCTCCTCGAGGTAGTGCGTCAGGCATCGGCTGTGATGAAAAGCTGGCTGATGCATCCATCATTGGCGAATCATTCTGCGCATATGCCATTCCTGACATTCCCGGAGCTGCATCGAACGGCAGGCCACTGTGTCGCATGGCAGTCTTATGCTGAAGATCGGTAATCAACATGGCAGCCGTCTCGACGTCGAAATTGCCTTCGCTACTGGCTTCCAACTGTTCGAGTGTGGCATTGTCTAGCGCAATGGATGACTTTGAAGGGCCACTGACGGCACGAGGAGCCTTGGGGCCGGCACGTCGCTTCCCGTCGCTGTGAAGAGGGACACCTCCATCCTTTGCATGAACAGTCCGGTCATGACGCAAAAGCAGATCACGGCGCACAAATGTACTGCGACACTTCATACATTTAAAAGGGCGCTCCTTGGTGTCTGAAAAATCGAACTTGTCAGCATGATGCCCGTGACAATGACTAGAAGATTTGCAGCAATCTCCAACGTGGTGGGGTACGAGAGAATCGCGTCGCGTACTACTCCTCATGGTGTTGAGGGGTAATGAAACGATTTCACGTAACTCAATCCCAAGTTTAGTGGAGGCAGGAGGGGTCGTCGTTAAAGTGACGTTTTTTAAGAAATGACGGTGACAACTTACGTGATCGCTCGTGGCGGCTCCTGTGCTCACTTCGACTGAAAGCCCTGGCGCAGAACTGGCACTTGTACTTCCTCTCAGGCTGTGATCCGGTAGCAACTGAGGATTTCCTATTGGTTGGTGTGGATGCGACTGATGTCGCAGGAGCGACGGCTACATTGGCAGCAGGCATCTCGGGCAGGTCGTTGAGTCTCTGTCCCTTTTGTGTGGAAGAAGGGGAGCAATCAGACACACTGGCTGATTCTTTTGCAATGCTGTGTGGTGACTTGAGTTCAAAATCGGTGGCGCACGCTGGAAATCAGGTGCTTGGCTGATCCGATTCTCGTCGCAATTGGCGGGCAAATGCGTGCTCACAGAGCGATAGTTGAGTATCGTCCGGGATTGGGGGGGAAGTGCAGTGCTGCTCTGCTGCTGAAAAGTGTGGGAATTGCCTCTCTCTCACTGTCTCCGTGTGTCTGTCTCTCGCTGTCTCTCCTCGCTCGCTCGCTCGCACACGCGCTCCCGTGGGATTTAAAGTGTGTCTTCTTGACTGAACTGTATGTGGTTGGTCATTTGTATCGATATGCGGGTCATGGAATGAGCTGTGATTAAAAGATAGTGGCCTAAGCCAGATATTATTCTCGATACACAAGGTATCCGAGAAGGGCGCACGGCTGCTGAGAGTCGGCGCAAGTGAGCGGGTTGTCGCAATGCGCGAATGTGTATTTTGACTCTGGGTTGGAGGGGTTCTTAGATGATGAGAAATGGAAAATGGGAAAAAAAAAAAGGAGGGGAAGGAGGGACAAAACCTTGGGTTGAGAGAGAGGGAGGGAAAGAGCGGCGGCGGGTTTTGGGAGGGGGAGGGGGGAGGGGGGAGGGGGGAGGGGAGTGGCCTGGCTGGCGTTGCTCGCAGCTCGACAGAAAGCCAGTGCAGTGTGGCCAGCGCAGCGCAGCGCAGCCAGTGTATGTACGTACGCCTTTGCACAGCAGAACAGCTCAGCACAACAAGGACCTGGGAAGGGAGAATGCACAGTGCGCGCAGGGGCGGTACTTTGGGTTCAAATTGCAGCGGACTGAAGGAAACGGAGGCTTACCCAGTACGATTCGCGATTCACGGCGGGGGGGGGAGGATGACGGCTTGTACGGAGCTGTCAACGTGCAAGACCACCTGGGGTGGGGTAACTGGCGGGGGGGTTCAAGAGTTTCGTGAGCGCGATGGACAGCCGATGGGCGATGGCTAGGCGACGGAACGTGGTGCAACTATGCCAGGAACGCAAAACAGTGCGAATCGCCTTGGGGGGGCTTGGATGCGGCCAACTCGCATTTAGCACTGTGAATTTGATGCTGCGACGCGTAAAGTGCTGATGGACGCCGAGAATAGGTGGTGGGCTGGGTGTGGATGGGGGGTGATCAATGTGAACTGTCGTTGCTTTGGGATGCGACAACGAAGAAGCTAGGCTGCCTTAAGGTAGGCAGTTCCTGGGGGGTGGCCGCGATTCTGGGCTCAAGGTGGGGCTGCCTTTTTGGCTGGAACGTGCGAATAGCAACATGTACGTACCTTCAAAGGGACGACAGACCCTTTACGGAACAACAGGAAGAAAGGGAAAATTAAGAAAGAAAAAAAGAAGAAGAAAAACAAGGCACACTGCCCAAGCAACCGAAGCGGACAGCACACGCACATAGGATGCCCGCACTACACCTACCAACATGTAGACAACCAACACCAGAACTGGGTTGTAACTTGAATGCCAGTCAACCTTCAATGTTCATTTTGACCCAGTACTTAGCTCGTAGA